CCCCCCCCCCACCCTACAGAGTGGGTAAAAAAACTTTCTAAGTAGACTTCTGGACGTTTAGTTGCTTGATAAAAAAACCTTCCGAAATTCCTTCCAAATCACTTTGATAACTAGTTGAGAAAATAAAAGAATAACTACCTACTTAACCACACATACCACAACAAAGCAGCATATACGGGTCTATTGACGTTTTTTGAGCATTTATAAAAGTTAAATTATTTGGAAATTATTACATTTGCATTCATAGATCCATCCATCAACCAACCCATGACAACCGCCTATATTCCATTCAGATCTACAATTACAGAACCTTCAAATAACTTTAGATAAATTCAAAATTTGTGAACATTTGTGTTAGTGAACTAAGTTAGTGGGGGGGGGGGGGAAGGGGGGGGGNGAAATTCTGTTTACTGAAAGAAGTGGGCGGGGGGGGGGGGGAAGGGGGAGGGAGGGAGGGAAATAGGGCGAAGGATAAGGACATATCCAACTCGCCCTATAATCCCCGATAAATTTTGGTTTCCCTAAAAACCCCGACTAGAAGGTTGCCATCACTAGGGGACCTAAAAAGGCAAATGCAAATCGTAAAAGTAACGCGAAACAGACAACTTGCACCTCTTACATAAATGGCTACTTTTTTTCTTCTTCAACAAAGCCCATGAATGGGAGCGAACTATAATACCCCACCCCCACCCCCACCCCCCTCCCCAATATCCCACTCATTACAGAGTCAATAAAAATGTTCCCCAAATCACAAGCATAAACTTAATCTAATATTTACTGTTCACAAAACATATGTACCTATATGTATATTTCTGTGCAAACTGAAATGGGGGTGACATCCACACAGAGTTATTTAAGGTCAAGGCCTGACAAACGGGCAAGTTCCAATGGAAATGCTGAATTAGGGATCGACCCATACTGAAAACAAGCTAATGCGGACTTTTAAATGCGTTTTTTTTAAACTACGATGTGAAATTGACCGAATTAGGGGATAGCACGCATCAAGTGGAAAGAGAGTGCATTCATAAGCAGTAAGGGACATTTACTTTATAATCATGACTACACAATTTTGGGCTTTAATTCCACTTCAAGCACTTTTCAAATCAATTGAAATTGATTTGCTCCTAGGATAAAGAGAGCTATTACAGAAGAAGTTCAACTCTTTCACAAAACCATATTATGGTAGAATTCATGACACATTTAGATCATAACCCTAATAATTTAAAATATTGCCATAGAGGCAAACAAGCAGTTTTAAAACATGCCTACTAATAAATGTAGGTAGAAAAGCATAATTTATGAAAGAAAAATTTAGGAAAATGCGAAAGACCAATGTTAAGAAAGGTCAATAATTAGAATGGCCACAACATAATGCCAGTGAGGTAAGAATTTACTTTGAAGAAAAACCTCTCCATAACGATTACATGGCAATAATATCTTACACAGTAGGGTTTTATCTATATTAACAAGAGAAAACTATAAGGGAAATAATTCTCAATGCACAATTTTAATGAATCATAAAGGAATTACAAAGCTTTACCTGAGCACATTTACTTCATTCTTAAAGGCTTTCAACTCAGTAGGCGTCGGTTCGACCACGTTGAGCTCCTTGATAGCTACATCACCATGCCAGTAGCCCTTGAAAACAGTTCCAAAAGAACCGGAACCAATTCGTGGTCCCTTCTGGATCTCCTCAGCAGGAATCATCCACTTGTCTATGGAGTCGTGACGCTGAAATGGAAAATAGTCTTGACAAAATAAAGAAGCAAAGACAAACACCTGTTTGAAATTGCAAAAAAGAAATAACATGAAGTTCGATTTAAGAGATAATGGATAAAATACCTCTGGAAAGTAGTCATTTATTAAGTTTTAGGTATGGCCTAATCAATATGCTTACCTGTCGTTGACGTGGGGTAGAAACCGAACCTTCACCTCGTTCGTTGGCCGATTTTGGACGCTGATCGTCAGCTCCCTCGTGATTGCAATGGCTTTTGACTTCACAAGGCTCAACACCGTTAACGGCTGTATTTGGAAGGCGATTCGAGTCGCCAGGCTAGAGAATGATGAAAAAGAACTGCATTAGCTACACGCTTTAGGTGTAACATATGGCTTCAAAAACACTTATACAAAGTACTGAAAAGGACTGCACAAAAGGCAATGACTTTGTAGCACGTGTTTGCGTTGATTAATAGGTCCGCCCGTTCACTGTATGGACCGCGCCCACTGACTCATACAGACTAGCCAGTAAACAAGACCTACGAAATAAGGCATCCTCTCGGAATGTACTTTACCTACCCTCTACTCAATGGCCATTCAGAAGCTTTGTTAAGTCTCCTTCTGGTCCCTCCCCCCCCCCCCC